CGGAAATGTGCGTACGTGACGGTTGACCCCGCTTACCGTTAGGCAAGAAACATCACTCATGACCATCGTGGTGAGCGAACATACCGTTTTTTGACCGCCACTTACTTGGCAAGGTGCATGATTCAGTTGAAGAAATACAAAAATAAGTTCCATAACCGAAACTGATTATTACTCAGAGACCAAAATCGCTTTACCGCAAAATATTGCCAGATCGCCGCACATGGCAAAATGTTGCAAAAATAACGAGAAATACTTTGCTCGAGAATAATTTGCATCAGTTGTTCACAAATTATTTCACAATTTTCAGGAAGAAAAATGAGTTAAATTGGGTTAAGCAGCCCGCAGTTGCTTTCATAATTTTGAACAAGGGAAAATTACATAGTTAAAACCTAATGACACATTTGTTTACTGGGTAAAATGATCACATTCAATTAAAGGTAACAAGGCGAGAACGCTGTGCGGTCTTTGAAACACAATTATAAGGCTTTGAATCGGCAATAATTTAAAAAAAAGCACAAAAAAGCATCCGCAACATCTAGACACCCTTTTACGGCTAACCGTGTAAGATACAACATCATAAGCATCCATATCAGTCCCTCTTAGCTCGAGCCCGTCGGAACCATGAAAACGGCTGTTGCCACATAGGTGGTGGGCCACCCCATCCGTTTGCGATTCCGCCTCCAGCTCCATTTCCCCAGCCCATCAGACCGCCCCAATCCTCGTAGTCCATTCCGCCACGACCGAAGCTGCCTCGGTGTTGCCAAGCAGGTGGAGGCCGGGTGACCACTGGTTGACGTGGACGATTCGTTGCAACTGGGGCCACAGAACCTAAATTCGTCCCTATTGTTGATGGTACAACCCTCTATGAAGTCATTCTAGCTTACCAACAGCACCGCGACACATGGTTCTGAGATCCCATTGGGAGTAACATGTTCTGCACGATGCACGACAATTCTCTGACATCCATGGGTTCTTTTCACATTCGCCCCGTCGAGCCCAACCAGAGCAATCACGGTGATAATCGAGGCAAGCTGAAATGTTACTTTTTATTGGAATCAGCAACTAGCTGGACACCGTAATCAAGATACGGTGCATTTTCCACGGGAGAGCCAATCACAAATGCGGACTTACCTTGGTTATGCTCATTTTTCATTACCTAACTCGTTTCGCTTTTAACATCAAAATATGTGGTGAAAACCCAGTTTGAGCGGGCACTTCATTGCGTTCTCCAATGCTTAAAGGCAAGAATCAGGATTACATTGATGGGTTGATTCCACTCAAATGTGAAAGTAGGGATGAGAGGTGGACCGCCAATGGAGAAAAAAGGAAAGAAAATCCTGACATGCACAGGAAATACGAGCATTTTGCTCAATGCTGTGGAGAAGTTCAAAAGACAGGGAGGGAGATGAGAGATAATGTGAGCGCAGAGGGTGGTAGAGAATTCCGAGAAGAGAGAGCATAGCAGATCAACGCAGCGACGCAGACAAGACATCGATCGGTGGGCGGACCATGTTATGTTTGGTGGAGTCTGTTAGAAGTTCATGGCGCCTAGGGTCCTGGTGACGGGTTTCGATGTAGAAAGGTGGCGCTAACTTTGCACTTGGGTGCCCAGCACTTCTAGCCGGGGTAAGGGTTTATTAGGTGGGTCTGAGCCGAACTTTGCCTTTAAGATAAGAATGAGAGCACTCGCGATGCGTAATCGACTCATACTAAGCATGCTGCTGATAAACATCTGTGTGCTGTGAAGTAACCCTGAGGTGCTTCCACAATTTAAGCCTACACTCCGAGGAAACGGTTCTGTATCTGCGGAATAGAGATCTTCGCCTTGGCCTAAGGGTGGAGGAGGTTTAGGCTGGGCGATCATATGCAAAAAAGGGATAGGCGAGGATGGAACAGTGTACGGTTCTACCGGTTTCCTTATCGAAAGAGCACATCATAGAGTTGTTCACATGTTAGCTTATCCTCAGCGTTGGGAGCCCAAAGCAGTGCTCTTTGAGAACAACCATAATTATAAGATAACAAGGACCCCAAACTGGATGTTAGCATCCGATAGCAATAACAGCATCAGAAAGCACAAGCCTTTAGATTCTTCTGAAAGATCGCCGCACATTCAGCGTGGAGCGGTATGCCCCCTGCCCACTTCTTGAGGCGATCCTTCCCTATTACCCCACAGCAGATGCTCTTCAAGGAGAGTAAAGACGCTGAAATAATGTAAGCAGCCGCACTCATATCTGGTACCGATTTTTTGGCCTTTTGACCAACCACCACTTCAGGAATTCATGTAAATCACGACACTCATAATCAAACACTAGAGGGTCGCAAGATGTATGGCGTGTCCTATGACCCGCACCCTTGAGTTGGGGATAACACCAAGAGAGGAGTACGTGCTCACTTCGAGAAGGATAGCGTACGGTCATTGATAGAGCAGCTCGTGTAAGATCGGTTGTGGAAAACCGAGCATGCATATGGCCTATGTTGGTGGTGGCGCAAGCCACGTGTTATTTATGTAGTATGTGAGTCACGGCTCTCACTATGGCGTAGTGTTGGCGCTCCTACAATTTTTTTCAACTACTTACGTAATTCATTCGATATCCCATCCTCACTTACCCTATTGAGCATAATTTGAAAGTGATGAATGAACAAAATAAAAGAACTATAACTCACATCCATAACCGTAATCCAGAGGAATACAATGACCACACGAGACTTGGCAGTTGCAAGCCATCCAGAATGGCGTTTTTTTCGACATTCTCCGAGCAGACTCCAGTACGCACAGCAGACGTTCTCGTTGTAGCAGCCTTCCGAAGCTTCGCATGTCGGTTGTTGTGGAACGATCGTGGTTGTGGCAACTAAATTACCCTTCGGTCTCACTTGGCTTTGGGCTGAAACAGTGAAACTCATTGGACAGAGACGTTCAGAGTAGTATTGACACTTGAAGCTTTATAATACATAGAACAATAAAAGGATCGAAGAAAAGCTTTCGGCACTGATCAACACCTTTGAGATGCGCCTCAACTTCGATATCCTTTCAAAATTGTAGTCAGACTCAAATGCGATTCCTTTTGTACCTGAGTCCACTGACGATTAAGTCAGGGTTTTTGTACCACTAAATGACCCGGGTACAGAACAACCATCACATAAGGGATAGAATGGCGACTGATCCAGGCGGGAATCGAACCAATCAGAACACAAGCTGTCATGAAGCATAACTTGCCACGACCACTTGAAAACTCTTTAGTCAAGATCTCAGCAGTCGCATTCGAGCAGTGACAGGTAGTCCTACAACAACACGTATCACCTGTACCTGATCGAAAAACCGATTGCTCTCAGATCAGCCAGCCCTTCATCTCTCTATGGTTCCGTAGTCATCCCGATTCACCCGCCAAATCAGAAACTAAGGGGGTGGAATGGAAAGGATGAAATGTTCTCTTAATTTAAAATTGAAATAATTACGCTTTCCCTTCGGTCAACACGTAGTTCCCACCTGAATATTACATGCACATTCCTTGTATATTCATAAAACTTACAAACCAAGCCCTCCTCACGACAATAGCAAAAGAATTCGCCACACGGGGACACCGGTAGCATTGGTTTCCGAGCCAACAAGTCCTCGCATAAAATCATGGAACTTTACTCATCATCTGAAAAGGGCGTGGTCGGAAGGGGTCCTGCATAAGTACTGTCTCTAGAAAACTATCCATCACTTGTTCGATAGAAAAATGAAAAAGCAGCTCCAGGCTTGGAGCGATTACGGTAGGCATACTTGAGCTGGACGGTGATGTCAGACGACGTTATATGCTGAAGCTGGTGGAGCAGTGAAGGAGGGTCTGCTACTGCTTGTGGGATGATATCTAACGGAAACTTTGCAGCAAAAGTTGCATCGACGGAGGGACTCTGTGCGATGGGAAGTTTGGTGATGCACGCCATGGATAAAGTGATTCCTTTGCCCATTTCCCTGCGTCTATTTAATTATTTTGAATGCGTCTCGGCTGGCTGGCCCAAGTGCAGCGCAAACGCAGTATATACAGGGGAGGAGGGGGCAAAAATAATACGTATATTTTCTCATTTCGCTTTTCGCCTTTTTTTCTTCGCAAGGGATTGCCGTCGTTGAAGTTCATCAGCAGAATGTTTCCTAAATGTTCTTTCATAAGTAGACGCTAGGCCCTCCTTCACTGCCCTCACCGTCTTCAGAATATGACGTCATCTGTCACCGTCGTCAGGCTCAAGGAGGTCTACCGTAAGTGCTTCAGCCTGAAGCTCTTACGCAATTTCGTGAATCGATTTAATGTTGGATAGTTTTCTAGAGGCATTAGCTACCACTGTGCAAATCCCCTCGAAACTAGCTTTCCAGTAAGGTCGTTATGGTACACGATCCTTCGAAGACCCCATTGAGATCGACCAGTGCACCATGTTTCCAGGGCAAATTCTTCTGATGCCGTCCACGTAGGTGGCCACTATGAAGATTTTCTTATAGAATGGAATGCGCTCTTTCAATTCTGATTTAGAACCATTTGATTTCAATTGAGCAGAGCGTGATTGAACCCATCTGGATGTGGAGACAAACTGCCTTTTTTATTGCCCCCTGTTTGTATAAGTGCCCTTTACGATGCCATGGAGGAGTCGAATGCATGCATACCAGAAAAACTGCTTAATATTGAATGCTTTTCCCTATTTACCCCTTGCCTTGACATTTCCATGGGTCTACTTCCTTCAAACCTATGTTCGCAGGTGAAATGGTACTTTCGCACCTCATCGATGCATATCAGAAGCTTTAAAGAGAAGATGCTGTTTAGTCTTACGAGTCTTACGACACTCATGATATTACCGAACAGATGCAGAGTTGGTAACAAAGGCAGGAAACATTTTATCGACAGCAACTATGCCAGCTTTTTGCGTGTGTCTTGGAAACAACGGCCGACGGAGATGGAAAACACCAGCAGCAAAGATGTCACCTGCATGCACCACACCAAGTCGCTTGAGTTCCATAGATGTCCACACTTTCGCACATTGACATTCTGCCATTCTCCGTGCATCCACAAGCAACATTTTTCTGGACATTCGGCCCATGGCCCCATGATTTGCAGTTCCTGTGACGATCAGAGCAATCTGAAACAGATAGAAGCTTCTGCCGGGGACTCTATGAAAATGCAGAAAAACAATGACCAAATCTCAAACGCAACGAAACGAAACGCATTCAGTCTTGATGGCGTAAATGTTGGCTGTTAAGTAAAATAATGCAAATAAAATAAACAAAAATAAGAACAAAATAAAATAAAGTTGAAAAATGAAAATAAAAGAAAGTATATATAAGGCGTATGCATGGCCTTTTTCACTCAGTGAGACGGCTGAACTTCGAAATAGGCTAAAATGGCGCCGCTTTCAAAGTCAGAATAGCAAAACGATTGACAATTCTTCACCTTACGAGCCCCACCCACGTCATGCCTTCCCAGTGAGCCGCAATTGTAAAGCAAGGAATGGTCAGCATTGCCATAATCTGAACAACCTGTTTTTCTATTAACCCGAAGACTTTATATCGAAGATCGTGACAGTTTGTTTGTAGACCCGCCCATCGCTATAACTCCACCTTTCAAACGTAATCAGCAAGCAATAAGAGGTTAGATCTGCTCAGATCTGCTATAGGACAATCAATCTTACTTTTCTTTGGTCTTCTACGAACCTAAACATTAGATTTCGCATGATGACAAAGCCTACTCACCATCAACAAGTCTGTACTGTGCTTTGCAAATGCCGCAACTGGCTTTGCACCATTCGCCCATGTAAGCTTGGTTTTGAGTACATTCTCCCTTGGCCGCCCATGGCGCACAGCATTGGTTCTCATTGAAGCAGGTCTCCTGTAAAGGTTAATTTTTGTTAATTTCACCAATCAGCTAAATCGATACGCTCTAAAGATGGTAGACGCAATATGCTTGATCAGGATCCCTATAGCTGGTGCTCTAACAAAAGATTAATCGGAGAAGATCATTCCGTACTTCAGAGGACATTCAATACGTTTCAAAGTTTAAGGGTTGTATGTCACGAGTCCATGCCAGCGCCTCTATTAAATTAAAGCAAAGCTCTTATGGTGAGGATTCATAGATGAGGTTAAAGGACGAAGAAGCGAAAACCTACCTATTGGAAACACAGGCGGGTCCCCTTTGGGTGCAGACCTATTCGCGATCCACTAGCAAGGGATTTGTACCCGGCGACTTAGCGTAGCCTTTCCCAAGGCGCCGCCGAAGCGGTACGCCCACCGGCTGGCTAATCACTCGCCGCAGGTCCCAGAGAGCGTTAGCGTTGAAGAGGGCAGCACCGATGAGAGTCGCATCAATGCGGAAATCAACGGGCAAGGAAGGGGTCCATTTCTCGGGTTCTGGATGTTTCCATGGTTTTTTCTTCATCCAGCGCCACTGACAACTCTCCCCTTATTCTGATGGGCTGCTTTCTAATCGTAAACTCCTCCTTTCAATATGTAGGAATCACTAGGCTAATGCAGACTGGACACCACATGTAATTTATCACGCAAATCAAGAAGGAAGAAGAAGTTTCATGGATGGGCAAGAAAAGGTCAGGAAGGCGCTCTGAATCGAAAAAGAATTTCAGGAAGCAATTTTAACAGTTCCCCAGGGCATTCTGAACTGTTTTTGCAGATGCCACCTTCACCCCAGCTCATCTCATTTTCTTGTAGCTCTCTTGTAATTTCCATGAGGGTATTATGGATAGGGGCGGATAGGGTACAAAACCTCGAGACAGCAGTGAAGAAGAGGAACATCCGACTCCGTGCCTACCTCTCCGTTTCACCAGTCGCTTGCGTTACCTCATGAACTTGGACTCTACGCATACAGGATGAGTACGAAATCTGCACAGTCCGCACTCCACGCTAACCTTGTCAGAGCAAGGCACTTGCAGAGGAAACATGCACTGCGAGCTCACAGAACTTCCTTCGCCCTTGTTGCGCATTGTAACGAGCAAAACGGCATGACATTAACAACCGCCTGACAGTCTACCGTGATAGGTGACGGAAGCGTTTGCCCAATCCTGTACTATGCATTTAATGATGAAGACAAATTCCTCAACGATTTCAAATGGAAGGACGGGTACACGGCGCTCTTCCTGAAGGCACGGGTGGGGACTAGACTAACAGAGGAACCTTCAGATCAGCACAATGGCTGGATCTGCAGCAACAGAGTTGGTGAAGCCCTCGTGATTTGAAACCGCGTGTCATCAGCGTATAACGCCCCACCCGAGCATTCAGTTCTATGGTAGCCTGGAGTAGGTTATTACCGCTAACCGCAGCAAGTGGTGCGAGACTAGAATATGGTATGAAATCAGCTGGGTAGGACCCGTTTATTGCTGTATCTGCTGGCACGGAGCCAGTAAGGCCGGCGTGTCCGACTCGTTCGGACATGCTTTCCTTTCCAAGCCATCTGCGTTGGGCAGGGAGACTCATTGTCAGCCTTCTCGATGGCCTTCCCGTTTTTCTTCATTGGCTTTCTTTCGCATTCTCCACACACTTTAAGTGTAGAAAGATCCCAACCTAGATACCGGCCCAGGAGAAAGGTAAGCACCAATCATTCTGCCCCTCCCGTCTTACAAATCGGAGTAAGGCGCAAAAGATTTACTTACCTGTGGAGCAATCACAACTGGACCCATCGTTGGGATAGAGAGGTGGCGGTGTGATGACCACCTGCGTCTAAATACGAGCCATATTTATATTTTCATCGTCAAAAATAGAAAAAAATTGAACAGCTGTTTGAAAAACAGTGCAAAGACCTACCGAAGCGACACACACTCCTCCCACACAAGCGCCATTGTAGCATGGATTCTCTCCCATACTGACACTACCACATTGGCCCCCGACCT